GGCATAGTACTAACGACACAATCCATTCATATGCTGAGTTTACAGAAACAAGTAACCTCTACTTCAGTTGCTCAATCGACCTATCGATTCGAAAATGAAATTTACAATTTACTTACTACTAGTTAATACTTATTTTAAACAGTGAAACACGCTTTTTAAAAATCCCAACACGGTAGCCTTATAATAAATTGCTGTAAACAAAATACCACGTTTTTAAAGTGCATACACAGGGAGCTGACCTCTGCCTATAAACAAACGTATTTTGTTAATAGTTGTTAAGGACATGAGGTCACGTAAAAGGTTAACAGTATTTTGTAGCGAACATGAGCTGCCGCAGTAACAGCTGTCTTCAAATACATCTACACCTCGTTCGTTCATTTCACACAGTCATACCTTACCACAGCACAAAGCCAAAGTCTACAAGCTAATGAATAATCAATATTTTCCCAACGTTAGCTCACAGCCAACTTTAGTAGTGTACTCCCTAAACGCAATGTCCGGCTTGATTCTAGATATTTATTAAACTTAGAGTAACGCTCTACCTCAAGGGCGTCCAACCCAAATCGTGTAAATCTATCAAAACATAAGTAGAAGTAAAAACAGGGGCAATGATTTCTTTTATTACAAGAAACGACGGTAGCGTTATTAAGTGTAGGGTAACTGTTAATTAACATCATGATGTTTGATGTTTAAGTGATGTTTTAGCAAAAAGGGAGTAGTTTTGATTCCTTATTGACTACTAATTATTTATTCACCATGTACAATAAATCTATTCTTTGCCTACGTGTGAAAAATATTGTTTCCTGTTGTTTAGGAATGAAAGGTGTAAATCAATTACGAACTCGCAATTGCTTATATATATATATATATTAATGAATATGGGAACCTCTGCCTAAATGGATATATAGGGGAAAATATTGGATTAAAATATGGAAATTTCTTCTTTAGTCGATCATATAGGGGAAAATCGCTAAAACTGCTAATCTGAAAGTCTCGAGTTCGGATCCCGCGATCGAGTCTGCAAGACGTAGCTGAATCCAATCAGGTCTGATAGATACCTGTCTATAGTTACGATACAGCGACTGGACACTGTGCTGATAACACTATCCCCTTTGTATGTCAAAGTCGTTGAAACAGATCAACTCTACTTCAACTGCCCCATGTGTCTTGGATACAGTCGGGAAAAATTGTAATGATGATTGTGGAAGTAATGGGAGAAAATATGTGAATCGCTGCTTAAGTGGATCACATTGAGGAAAATATGGGAACACTTATTATAAGACTCGAGTTCAAGTCAATAAAACGTCCATGAGTCCACCCAGATCTGATGAGTACCCAGCTCGTGTTATGAAAAGTAAAGGCGGCTGGGCATAGTGCTGACCACACTATCCCTTCATATGCGCCGAGGTCACAGAAACAGGTGAACTCTACTTCACTTGCCTCATAGACCGTCAGGTTCGAAAGGGAAACTTTACTACTACAGTAGGTCTTCTTTATTACTTAGAGAGCCTGTAAGGAGTAAAGGGCTACAGCTTCAACGGGTCCCATTAGAGAAACTATGGGAGACCGCTGGTGGTGCACCTATTGTAGTAAGCAAATACAACAAACCATTTTGCAGACATTGATTAGAGCCCAATTCTCAAAGGACCGATCGAAAATCAAACAATTAGTGACCGGAAGTTGCGTAAGAATCGTAATCGTGCCAGCCTGTGATCAGTGGTATCGAACAATTACCAGGGTATGTACGTCTGTTGTTCACGTCTGCTAGCTAAGTCTGGCATCGTTGGCTGGGTTAAGCAAACAGTGCGGCCATTTTTTGTTTAGAAAAGGACATAAAAAATTAATGACCGGTTTATCCATAGGGCGTTGTTGTGTAGGTGAGTTGCTTTTTATTTAGGGATTAAATCTAGTAATGTGCAGAGTGTAGTTTTCAATCGATAAATTACATGTAGTTAACTAAATAAGGCGATATGTGTGTTATTTATAGTCTAGTGAAACACGCCTCGGCAATGCGTTAAAATTTCATTAGGTTGAGTTGTGTTAAGAGGTGTTACTTTTCTAAATTAAAGCAAGTATAGAAAGGAAAGAACTATAAATACAAGCTTTTAAATGCATATTTTAAGATATAATAGTTTTTTTTTTAAAAGCGTTGGTTATTCCAGAATTATTTTTTTTCAAAATATATTTTGCAACCAACGCTTTAATTTATATTATTCTAGCTAAAAAACGGAATGATTTGTCTCTTATTTAGTAACCAATTCACATTTTGACTACACTTCTGCCGTTCGTGTCTCGCTGTGATTGCATGGCTAACGCTTCGTTTCGTTTACATATGGCAGCTCTAACGATCCTGTACAACATAGCATTCCTTTGTACTAATACCCCTGACCACACTAACATAGGGTCGTATCACGTAGTTATTCCTCTTCAAACCCCAACCCCCTACCACACTAACATAGGCGTGGTCGGGCGGGAGAACGTATGCTGCTAACTCCAAAAGTCCCGAGTTTGGACCCCCAGATAGATGAAGCTCGTTAGTTGAGGCCAGCAAGCCTTCAAGGAGAGAACACTCCTAAATCAAACAACAGCTGTTTTAAAGATTTTTCTTGTATGGACATTGGCTATTGTATTGAAGCAAATCGTAAAAGAAAAGCAGGCTGAAATCGGAGTCAACGAGCTAGACATGTATGGCACTTAGCATGTTGCCAGATAGTACTTCATTGTCAAGTTAGAAATCCCACCCTTCCCCCAATATTAAAAGAACTAAAGCAGAACATGTCGCGTTAAAACCAACATAAAACCGTGGTTTTAATTGCCTCCCCCCCCCCCATCTATAGTAGTTTCCCTTCCCTCGACCCCAATAACCATAGTGCGGTGGCCTGTAGCGACACTGCCCCCCCCCCCCCCCACACACACACGTACTCCAACAACTAACCAACTTACCTGCAGAGCGGTTAACCGGTTAAACCCAGCGTCATGTAGCGACCGTTGAACCAGGATAAATGGGATGTCAAACGGTCGAATTTAGGGTCGCGCCACGCCGCTATTTGACACGGCACATTTACCCGATCGAGCTCGATCATCGGGAATCAATCGCCGACCGTTTTGCCGGATGCGGACTCCGGGGAAATTTACATAGTGCTGGCGTCAGACTGACTTCAGTGTTACTTTGTTGTGTTTTGATCTATAGTGTTTTGATAAATCCCTTCCAACACTAAAATTAAGAACAGGAAAAATACCCCACGCATATATGTTTACGTTCTCGTCCATTGAACCGTGTCAACTGTGGTTTTTGAACCTTGAAGTTCTCACTCACTGCCGCGAATTTCAGCCCCCACTGCATGTGTAGCCGGACTGTGCTGATACACCGAGCACGCATCTATTATTATCTGTACAAGTGAGACCTGATTTCAGCCCTTGAATGTATGCTGACTGATTTCCTGGGGATTTGTATTATTTTAAAACTTTTGAGTGTTATAAAATCTTCACGTAACCTAACTGCATAGTGAATACCTAAACATTAATAAATTACTTATATGCAGGCATACTGAAAATCAGGTGGAAGCAAGTCAATGGCACTAGGACGTTATTTTAAAAAGACGCTCTAACTAAAGGCGTCCTGCTTTCGAAATTGAACCCCAAATGAATTCTAAACCTTTGCTATTTCGTTCAATGGATAGCTTTGGCGGACAGCTATGATACTCAGTTATTCTTAAAAACGTATGCTTTGTTGTATGGAACAGCTGAGCAAGTTCATTGATTGTAGGACCCTCTGGCTTTTATTTAATAAAGCACTAAAAAGTAGTAAATAAATTATATACTGCTTTTTAAATAACTATAGAGAAAAGCGTGGATCACTTTAGAATCTATTGAATACCTTTACTAATGTTAAGGAAGACACGCACGCTTTTCTTTATAGTTATTTAAATAGTCTATAATTTATTTTCTACTTTTTAGTGCATTAGTACATAAAAGCTTGTTATTAAAACGTATTTTATGAAATTTTTTCAGTACTTTAAATGTTTTATTTACACTAGAGTTGCATGACTAAAAACCATTGCGCGCCTATTGAACGTGATGACGTGCTTTTGCCGTGATGACGCGTGTGGATAGAACTGCCTACTAATTCGATCCAAATTTTAATTAATTCATAAAAAAATCATTAGGCGACCAAAAAAGTCAAATTGAATGTCACGATGCATTGTCTTCATGTCTTTACCCACGTACCTACTACGAACCGTATCTGTCAAATGGAAGAGCCGGCAATTTCGCTCGGCCGTTTTGATCTAGACTGACGACTGACGAGGATGTGAGTTAAAGAAAAGCTTGTAAAAAGTAAAGCATTCGTCAATACATTTATTTCAAAATATATTTTGAGCCTATCGCTTTTAATTATATTATTCTATCTAAAGAAACTGATTTTTCTTCTTATATAAGTAATCAGTTCAGAAGTCTGTCTCGTTGTCATGACATGGCTAATGCTTCGCTTCCTTTACGCTTGACACCGCTGACAATATAGAGAACTAGTTTGTACTAATATCTCCACAATACAAATACCCCCCGACAAGACTATCATAGTGTATTGTAACCTTCTTTCGCAACATTTTTATATAATTTTTATCAATGATTACATAACATTTATCTTTTACGTATACTATTTAAGTCAAATTATTAAAATTTAAATAAATTTAAACCAAACTGAAAATTTTTGGTGATTTTGGTGAGATTTTGTTATTATTTTGTCTAGCTATAAATGACTTTCAGCGAAAATTTGAATAATTCATTTTCTTAAATTTTACTATTATAAAATATTGAACCGGCATTCACATTCTATGACTGTGTAATTTCTAATGTCGACATTCAGCATCCCCAAAGCAAGCATTTTAAACTTACTCTCAAGGGATCTCGATGCTTAAGATCTAGACTAACTCTAAACAAAACAAACTTACATTCATCTTTCATGTGCGTTATTTAATATTTGTTTTCATTGGAAACATAACGGGATTTTATTTTATTTCTTAAGAGAAAACAACACCTCGTGAATAAATCAGCACATATATCTTATGGTTAGCGATTATTCAGCAGAAGAATTCTCAGCTATCCAAGGGAGGAAACTTGAAACTTTGGTGAAGAGAGCATTAGATGTGAAGCACTCATTCCGAGTGGCGGACGCGATGCCGTACTGGTAGTAGCGCCCGTCTGATTCCATACACACAAGAGGACCTCCAGAGTCTCCCTGCAGGAAATGTAGTATTTAGCAAATTTTTCAGTTAAAAAAAACATCATGCACTATGTAAAATTATTACGTAATTTTTAGATCCTAAACTATTTTTCGTAGTAAGCAAGGATGGGAGAGCATACGAGGCAACACAAACCGCATCAGCAAGATCAGGTATGCATTCAACACCATCCGCACAATCTGGACGTCAAGCGCACATATACGCTTTCCAAAATAGGATGTTTCACAGCAATGTGACATTGGTTTTCTTTTATGGTTCAGAGACATGGAGAGTAACACAAAGGAATAACAACGAACTTCAGACTTTTATTAACCGACACCTGCGTCGAATATTAACTATCAGTTGGCCTGAAAAAATTACCAATGTCGAGCTGTGGAGAAGAACTGGGAAATATACTATTGGCAAAGAGATACTAAAGCGCTAATGGGGATGGATTGGTACACCTTGCGTGAACCAAATAGAAGCATCTCCAGACAGGCACTAGATTGGAATCTCCAAGGAGAGAAAAACGTAGGTAGGCCAAAACAGACATGAAGAAGATCAGTCGCAAGTGTAGCAGTAGACATCGGAATGTCGTGGACCAAGTAAGATAGAGAGGTTTGATTGCGTCCCTATACGCCATAGGTCCACAGAAATGATGATGACAATGAAAGTATTTTTCAGAATAGAAAAGACATACTCACTACATAAAGTAATTAATACTACATTTAAGTTTGTAAAATATTTTTACCGCACAAATATTTTTGCCCATTGCCCCAGCACAAAACTTGTTCATGTTGTAATATTTAGTATATTCCCTCTGGCAATCATCGTCAGAGGCGATGGGCATGTCGATCCAGAGAAGATAGTCAGAGATTGGGCCAATAGAGTAGCCTGGTGGAAGAAATATATGTTAACTGTGTCTTTATCTTTGTTCGACGTGTGAATAGATTCGGTATGTCGTATACTGTGGTACCAATAGAGAAGCCTGGTGGAAGAAATATATGTTAACTATGTCTTTATCTTTGTTCGACATGAATTAATTCGGTATGTCGTATACTGTGGTACCTTCACATACGAGTGCTCTTTCGAGTTTTCTAGACTCGAGCCGTCAAGCTTGCCATGTTTAGCTTTGAATTACGAGAAAAAAATTTAAATACGAAGAAATTTGGACATTTTTTAACGGCTTGCAGGTAACAGTGACAAAAAGTGTAGCAAAAGGCAAAGATCAGTCAAGAGAAAAGCGATGTATAAAACTAAGCAGAAGAAAACATATTGTACGGTAGCGTTTAAATTCAATTAAGTTCAGTTAAATTCCATTAAGTTTAAGAATAAAAAGTAGCCTTAAGAGTGTAACATGTATGTAAACTAAAGTGACCCAAAGAGCTTAACATGAACAGTATCGCGCGTCAATGTACGAAGTGAAGCTACTCCGCCCATCTCCTCTACCTTACTACACCCCCGCTAGAATCTTCAGTTAGCTCATGTCGGCTATTTTCAAGATAATTTATTTCCTTGTATTATTTTTTTAAAATAAAATTTGTATACATCAACTTCTTTGTACTATATTGAAATTTTGGAAGGGATTCCCTCGACAATCAACTGAGTATAACGTGTCAACTTGTTATGCGCCATATAAGCCTTTGACTCCGATTCAGCCTACATTCCTTTTTGGATTTGCTTCCATAGCCTTTTTTCCAAGCAAGAACGTACTGACCCAAAGCCTTCAAGCTCTCAAGCCACCAACACTTACTGACCTCACGCCCTCAAGCCACCAAGACCTATTAAAGGCCACAGGCCACAAAAACACTAACCTAACGTCCCCCCCTTCAATCAGCCCACCAAGACTTACTGACCTAACGCCCTCAAGCCACCAGAACTTACTGACCTAACGCCCTCAAGCCACCATGACTTACTGACCTAACGCCCTCAAGCCACCATGACTTAATGACCTAACGCCCTCAAGCCACCATGACTTAATGACCTAACGCCCTCAAGCCCTCAAGCCATAGAACTTACTGACCTAACGCCCTCAAGCCACCATGACTTACTGACCTAACGCCCTCAAGCCACCATGACTTACTGACCTAACGCCCTCAAGCCACCATGACTTAATGACCTAACGCCCTCAAGCCACCAAGACTTACTGACCTAACGCCCTCAAGCCCTCAAGCCATAGAACTTACTGACCTAACGCCCTCAAGCCACCATGACTTACTGACCAAACGTCACCCCTTCAACCTGACCACCAAGACTTACTGATCGTGTTACCCCAGCCCAAAGCTATACATTTCGACGCCATCTGGGGTGTCTTGGTGCCATTAGCCAGACAGACTGGGATGTGGTGCCTGTCGTAGACAATAGGAGCAGAAAGCGTCAACACAGCGACGTCGTTGTCTGAAATACATATTATAAAGTATAAAGAAACTCCGTCAATTCTACTTTACCCAAGAACTAATAAAAGACAGTATATAATATACGATGTCAAATATTTAGTTTAATGAAGTAGATAAAATTTGAAATTGTTTGTGAAAATACTAATAAAACCCACTCATCAGTTTTGAGTCGTAGTGCTCATGATAGGCGACCGAAATTACTTTTCTTTTCTTGGCTTCAGCATAATTGGTTGAACCATCCATGATGGATGACCCCGTGTAAACAGATATTTTAGACGCAGGGGTCGGGTAGGTTATGCCTGTCCTGAGAATGACAAATTTTGAAAAGTGAAAGCTTTTAAAGGCGAAGGATACCCTTTGTCGCTATTTATAGTATCGAGCATTAAGCAGCTGTTGTTTGGTTTTTTATAGAGCAGGTGCTCGGACCCCCCCCCCCCCCACACCCCATACATACACATAATGGATATGCTGCTGACTGCTTGTGGGGTGAGGGAGGAGTTATGTGATTCCCCACCAAGTTGTATACCAAGGGGTATTAATATACCAAAACTCAAACTAAGTACGATATTACTTATGTGTGTACCAATGTCAATATAAAACAAATTTAAAAAACCTTCATAACTAAAAGCTTTTAAAAGCCACCGAAAATAATAAAATAAAACGTGTTGATTTTCTTTAATAAAAGCTTTGTTCTTTCATGAGATCTTTTACATAATTGAGCAAACCAAAGCTTTTATTACATAAAGAAAATAGTATTATTTTCTTATTTTCAGTGCATTTAAAAGCTTGTTATTATAAAGGCTTTTATATTTTGGATTTATTCTCTAATTTTTTTAGTAATTCATAATTTATTAAATCGACACTGTAGGCTACGACTAAAAAGACAATTATCTGCCCCTGCTCATCGCCCATAGTTATGCGCCATATAAGCATATAAGCCTTTGACTCCGATTCAGCCTGCGTTTTTTTTTGGATTTGCTTCCATAGACTTTGTTCAAGCAAGAACGTACTGACTCTACGCCCTAAGTCGTAGTTTCAAATCGTTTAAAAACTTTATTATCTGTCCCTAAAAGCCTTCACTAGATCGACCGGCTCTAAGATTGTAAACATTCTAGTGAATCACAGCTCACTAGACCGGGGGTTGGTAACCTGCGGCTCGCGAGCCGAATGCGGCTCTTTTGATGTCAAGGCGCGGCTCTTCAGCTCCATGCACAAACATTATTTTATTTTATTTTTTAAAACTCATGAAAATATTAGTCTGCAACACTCGGTAATGAACGATATATGAATATAATCTATATAAATAATGAACCTTCGCTATTCTATTAAAATATTTAGTTACTCCCAATTGTAATGTACTTCGTTGTACGTCATGTATGAAAGCCTTGAGTGTAAGTTAATCACTCACCGTAATATCACCGTTTATCACTCACCACCTAAGTGTCGGGGACGGAAAGTGGCGCTCTCGCGAAGCCGATTACACTATCGCAGGGGTGCCATGTACAGACCCTAGCTCGGTTTAATCATCGAATGTCGTGTGCCGCATTATCAAAATTGTATGGTGCTCCTTAAAACTAACGTAGGCGCATAGTGCTCGCGGGTTCTTCGGGTCGCGCAATCGACGAGGTGCCGGCGGCTGCGCCTGTTGCAGTTTTGCCGCTGCCAAACCGTGTATTGACGAAAATCGCACCCTCCCGGGAGCTACCCATAAGATTTTGTTTTCGCAGAAATCTTCACGGGAGTAATTTCATTTACTTTCCAAAGTTTCATGGCGATCGGATGAACGGTGTCAATCCGCAATAGACTTTTAAATATATAGGGAATAATCGAATCGCTCCCTGCTGGGGCGCTACCCCTGCGACTTTGACATTTTTTTCGCAGATACCTCCCCAGGAGTATTCTCAACAACTTCTTAAAGTTTCATGGCGATTGGATGAAAGGTGTAGTATGAGTAAAAGACAATCAGACATACACACACACACACCTACATACCTATATATAATTACATATATATATATATATATATATATGTATATATATATATATATATATATATATATAAAATATATATATATATATATATATATATATATATATATACCTAAACCTTATCAAAGATTATAATATTGAAATTAAAATGTTGGTAGCTCTTCTTTAAAAGCTGGGAAATTCTGTAAATTGTAACTTTTGGCTCTTCTGTCTCAAAAGGTTGCCCACCCCTGCACTAGACTGCTAGGGTGAACGCGTCTAGCTAGTTAATATAAGTAATCTCTCTTTCTACTATTGAATAACGTAATCTATCGAGTGATTTGTCTTCTCCCCTTAGTTTCTAACCCATTTCATTAATTTGTAATAACGAATTAAACATCTAATTAAATAAAAAAATAGACTTCTATCGTCATCGAAGTGAAACGTATCTGGAATGTTTGAATGAAATCGCTGCATTAGAAATGGGTCAAAATTGAGTTACAAGATTTGCCACAAACTCACAAACAACAAACAAACATTGCAAACTCAATAAAACCTTGTAAAAAAGGGAAATACATGCTCGTGAGAAACATTTAATGTAGTACTTAAAAATGTTGTAAGTAACATTCAACAAACGTTAAAAGCTTTACCTTTCATCTGTGTAGCTAACGCAATGCGCAGCGGTCAGTATGTGTGTCTCGTCAATGATGGACCCTCCGCATGTATATTTCAAATAGCTGTTTTCGATGAACGCCATCCAAGGATATAGGTACGACTTCCCGGAGATTCCGCCGAGAATTCTTGTTTTGATGGGTAAGCCGCACGTTGCTAGGAGGAGAAATAAACGCCACGGTATTTTCAGAGTGAGCTCCCCTAAACTTTTATATTATTTTACTAGCGTTATGGCACTGCTGTGATCTTAGAAGATATGAGATTCCGAGAAACTCTTGATTAAAAATTTAAACCGGAACCAGAACTTAAATCGGAACCGGATATCTAAGCAAAAACGTAACAGAACTTTAATAGAGCTGGAAATTTAACCGTAATCAGATTTTAAACTTGATTTGGAATTATAACCGGAGCTGAAACTTTAACCAACACCATAACTTAACCGGGAACTGGAGATTTAACCTGAATCAGAACATGAACTTTAAACTGAACATCTACTTCAACTTGTACATGTAAGGCTCCCCTGAGCTGCCGCCGAGAATTCTGTACTTGCGGGGTAAGCAACATTTCGCTAGAAGGAGAAATACACGCCGTGATATTTCCAGTTAATTAAGCGAGGGTGATCTCCCATGAACTTTTTCGTATATTCGAAAAAAAGATAAAAAAGAAAAGTCTCACTTTCGGTTACCTGAAATTGCTCAAACGTATAAGGAGACTTACAAAAAGGATCTAATACTTATACATGAAATTTCTTCTACCTACCTGTAATCGGCACTCAGGTTAGCGTGTTATTCAAACTCAGACAGACATACACGCATACAGAGAATATTTCAAAAGTGTTTTTTTTTTACTCGACACATGAAGACTTATAACCTCGACTTTGAATTTTGACACTGTTACAATACCTCACCGTATACTTTAAGAGAAAGTAAAAAACGAAATCTGACCGACTTTCGTATTACCGAGTATTTTGATGTTATTGTTGAATTTTATGTTACCATAGCTGGTTGATAGAGTTTATTTTAAATCTAGCTACCAATTCGTAAATGTTCATAAACGAACGAGTTTGTATCTCAATATGATGGAAAGTTTCGTTAACTTATAGATATATATTCGTTTTTGTTTTAAAATAAATTTTCAATTAATAGCCTAAATTATTACATCCGGTCAACGGATATTACTCAGAATTCGACAAAAGGAAGAAAATCAAATCAAATCGTTTACTTACATGTAAAATTTCATTTATCTATCTAAAACAGTACTCAAGTTATAGGCTTTTGAAAAATTGAAATTAGAATAAGTTCCACTTCCGGTTTTCGGAAATTGCTGAAATGTTTATACATAACTACAATTTTAATAAAATAATTATATATAAAATTTCATGAACCTAGCTGTAGCGGTACTCAAGTTATAGTGTTCACAGACATACATACACACAAACACACATACGGACAAAATTGCAAAACTATGTTTTTTCCGACTCAGGGAGGTGTAAAACGTCGAGATTTGTGAAAATCTTGATTTCGATTTATTGCACGTTTAGAAAACTTCCTCTTTTCCTCGTATACGAGAAAGTAAAAAAAAAATAAGAAAGAATTGTTTTTAAATTAGAAAATTTTTGAAAAAGGTTTACCAGCTTGAGATGATTCAATCAACCCAATCAGGAGCAGTAAGACAGCTGTAGACATGCCCATGTTTCCTGTGTGCTTCTGAATTGCCGACAGTAGCTAAATCTGATGTGCCACAGTCCATACCAGCCCTAGCTTATATAGCTCTAAATCTGTGGCTAAACCACAATATTAGCAAGGTTTCTTTCTTTCATGTAATGCAACCGTCGGAAATTTTAGCTCTTGATAACATTGATAGATTCTGTTCACCTGCTATACGCTCGCTTTTTAACTGACATCTAAGAGGGTTGTTGCTATGTGCGGCGTGATCATATAAAATTAGTCTGACCTAAGTTTAGGTCACTTTGACCCAAACTCATTTTAAGGAAGGCGTAATATTACTCATACGTTAAGACAGTCTGACCCAACAATGTGTTTGGGACAGTCTGACATATATATATATATATATATATATATATATATATATATATATATATATATATATATATATATATATATATATATATATATATATATATATATATATAAAGTGTTTGTATAATGTAATTCCCAATCGTCGAAACTATTCTGCTACGTACAAAGAACCCACCCATATATGTTTACGTTCCGCTTCATTGAATTGAGGTTCTCGAGCCTTAAAGTTCTCACATGCTGCCAGGGTGGTTTAGCCGACAGGCATTGTGTAGCCTGATTGTGTTGACACACCAGGAACACAACTCATATACTAGTACAAGAGAACAGGTCTGATCCGAGCCTTAATTCACGTCTGCTCATTGATTTCCAGTAGTGTCACCTTAGGGATTTGCATTATTTCAACATTTTAAAGTGTGCATTAATAACTCCTTCATTTAACGTAAGTACGTAAAGGAATATGGGTGTATTTATTACCCGCAGACAGGGGTGTAGCGAGGGGGGCGGGGCGTGCGGACCGCATCGGATGACACCGTTTAGGGGGGTGACACCAAGGCAAAAAATAGCAAAATATATAGAGAAAAACTTGAGGGGGGTGCAAATCGAAAGTTTGAGTGAGGGGGGGGGGGTGCAAATCGAAAATTTGAAAGTTTGTCCCCGGGAAGGGTCGCTACGTCTCTGGGGGGGGGGGGGTGACACCATTAAGTGCCGCACCGGGTGACGCCCGACCTCGCTACGCCACTGCCCACAGACAAGCAGAGAATCACGAGAAAATAAAATAATTGCTCCTATGATATTTCTGACAGAGGTTTAAAATGAAAACGTCCTGTTTGCGATATTGTTCTAGATCTATACACGAGTTCTAAGCGAGTGCGATAATCGTTCACTGGATAACTACGAAGCACTAGAGGCGTAGCGAGAAGGTGGGGGGGGCGGGGGGGGGGGGTGCGGACCGCACAGGGTGACACCATTTAGGGGGGTGACACCAAGGCAAAAAATTGCAAAATATATAGAGGGGGGGGGGTGCCTTGCAAATCGAAAGTTCGAGGGGGGATGCAAATCGAAAGTTTGAGAGGGGGTGGGTGCAAATCGAAAATTTAAAAGTTTGATCCCGGGAAGGGTCGCTACGCCTCTGGGGGGGGGGGGGGTGACACCATTAAGTTCCGCACCGGGTGACACCCGACCTCGCTACGTCACTGCGAAGCACCGCTATAAATATTCTGGATACATAATTATGAAGGGTAACTATGATTGATATATTGGACAGATCTAAGTGTGGACAACTATGATGGATAGTTAGGATATTTAACTATGAACCTTGTTTCTGTGGAGCAAGGTTACCTAAAAACGTTAAACTGAACTTATTATTGGAGTTTTTTTTAGAAACAATATGTTATTATACTAACTACGTGATGGATCAACACAGCAATCGCGTGTTTGATATTTGTATGGTCATGGTTAAATTTAAATTATGACATATCTTTCGAAGTAAAATTCGTTTGATATGTAAATTAAATTCCCTTGACGCAAATGGCATTGAAAAGGTGATTGTTTCCCTTGGACTTCTCCCATGATGGATATGGGTAGAACGGTGTTACTTGTAAGTCCCACTAGACGTTTATATTTGTCCTTACTACTTAATCCTAACTAGTCAGTATTTTTATCCAGTGTTACAGAAAACAAAGGAGTACTTTTATGGTTTGTTTTTGTGGTCTGTTTTACAAGTTTGCTGTGAATACTTTTTACATTCGATTTTATTTTCAGTGCATTCCAATTTTCACCGATAATGAAAAGGACCCGCTCAACACATTTGGGGGACATTTCATTCAGTCTAACTATGAAAACCGATTCAGTTGTTGCAATTAGCATAAATATTTTAGAGATTGTGTAGTATCAAGTCAGTACTTACAGTGTGAATAAAATATTTCTCCCAGTGTTTCTTTCATACTTTTTTCAACGCGGATGGGGGGGGGGGGGGGGACTTGAAACAAAGGAGATGCCTGAAAGAAACACGGATTTTTCCTATCAATGTCCGACAATAAAAAAAGTGCTTTAGGTTGTTGGTAGAGTTGTAATAACAGTTTAACATAGTTAGGCTACGGGTAGGTTTCGGATAGTGTTGCCAGTGGCATTTCCATTTGAATTTGGTTAATTACAACTAGTTTACTACTAAGAACCTAAAACCTCCGCCGTATAATATATATCTTTATATTTGCTGTAGTACCATTATTGTACATTTTTAGTGGCATTAGTGGACTTCAAAGTGAAAAAAATACCCCGTCAGCTGGAGCTTGCTCTATGTGAACCACATCTTTAACATGTATACACGTGGTCGAATGGTAAAACGTTCACAGTTCAAATCTCGGTCTAGCCTCAGGACTGCAGGACGTCCCTAAGTCCACCCAGCTCTGATGGGTACGTGATTAAGTTTAAGGAAAGTTAAGGCGGCTGGGCCAGCCTCGGCCAATTAACTTCTTCTTCTTCGTTCTTAATTATTAGTGTTGAAGGTGATCGAGATTTATCTGCCAGTGTGTTTGAACTCGAGACTGTTCGAATTTATCAACCATGAGCTTTTTGCCGACTCGACCACGCCTCCAACACAATTAATCGTTACGTGTCAACTGGTTTTGCGCCATTGAGGCCATTGACTCCGATTTCAGCCTGCTTTTCTTTTTGGATTTGCTTCCATAGCCTTTGTCCAACCAAGAACAAACTACAAGGCAGCAGTTCGAACCCTGCCCGAGACTTTTCGGTTCATCAACCATGAGCCTTACAGACTCGACTACGCCGACCCCGGCCAATTAACAAAAGCAGGTTCTTAGTTGCAGTTAAGAACGTGACGTCACGTGCGATGTAAACAATTGTTTACTGGAGGTGTGACAGCTGTCGTCAAACAACTCTGCACCTAACTGTATACATTTCATCCTAAGGTATAACTTGACATGTCTACAAGCTAATGACTCATACATATTTTTCCCACGGTAGGTCACATCCACCTGTAGTAATGTATTCACTAAACACTGTGTATGACTTGATTCTAGATCTAAATTAAGCCACCTGTAGTAATGTATTCACTAAACACTGTGTATGACTTGATTCTAGATCTAAATTATCTACCTGTAGTAATGTATTCACTAAACACTGTGTATGACTTGATTCTAGATCTAAATTAAGGCACCTGTAGTAATGTATTCACTAAACACTGTGTATGGCTTGATTCTAGATCTAAATTATCTACCTGTAGTAATGTATTCACTAAACACTGTGTATGACTTGATTCTAGACCTAAATTATCTACCTGTAGTAATGTATTCACTAAACACTGTGTATGGCTTGATTCTAGATCTAAATTATCTACCTGTAGTAATGTATTCACTAAACACTGTGTATGACTTGATTCTAGACCTAAATTATCTACCTGTAGTAATGTATTCACTAAACACTGTGTATGGCTTGATTCTAGATCTAAATTATCTACCTGTAGTAATGTATTCACTAAACACTGTGTATGACTTGATTCTAGACCTAAATTAAGGCACCTGTAGTAATGTATTCACTAAACACTGTGTATGACTTGATTCTAGATCTCAATTAAGGCACCTGTAGTAATGTATTCACTAAACACTGTGTATGGCTTGATTCTAGATCTAAATTATCTACCTGTAGTAATGTATTCACTAAACACTGTGTATGACTTGATTCTAGACCTAAATTAAGGCACCTGTAGTAATGTATTCACTAAACACTGTGTATGACTTGATTCTAGATCTCAATTAAGGCACCTGTAGTAATGTATTCACTAAACACTGTGTATGGCTTGATTCTAGATCTCAATTAAGGCACCTGTAGTAATGTATTCACTAAACACTGTGTATGGCTTGATTCTAGATCTAAATTATCTACCTGTAGTAATGTATTCACTAAACACTGTGTATGACTTGATTCTAGACCTAAATTAAGGCACCTGTAGTAATGTATTCACTAAACACTGTGTATGACTTGATTCTAGATCTAAATTAAGGCACCTGTAGTAATGTATTCACTAAACACTGTGTATGACTTGATTCTAGATCTAAATTAAGGCACCTGTAGTAATGTATTCACTAAACACTGTGTATGACTTGATTCTAGATCTAAATTAAGGCACCTGTAGTAATGTATTCACTAAACACTGTGTATGACTTGATTCTAGACCTAAATTAAGGCACCTGTAGTAATGTATTCACTAAACACTGTGTATGACTTGATTCTAGATCTAAATTAAGGCACCTGTAGTAATGTATTCACTAAACACTGTGTATGACTTGATTCTAGATCTAAATTAAGGCACCTGTAGTAATGTATTCACTAAACACAGTGTATGACTTGATTCTAGATCTAAATTAAGGCACCTGTAGTAATGTATTCACTAAACACCGTGTATGACTTGATTCTAGATCTAAATTAAGTTACCTGTAGTAATGTATTCACTAAACACCGTGTATGACTTGATTCTAGATCTAAATTAAGTTACCTGTAGTAATGTATTCACTAAACACCGTGTATGACTTGATTCTAGATCTAAATTAAGTTACCTGTAGTAATGTATTCACTAAACACCGTGTATGACTTGATTCTAGATCTAAATTAAGGCACGGGCTACAATATCTTCCGAGCACAGACGAAGAGCCCAGTGCCTCAAATCCTACCCATCATCAT